TGAATACTGTTTGGTTACGTTGTCCGTTGTCCTTGTCCAAGTAATTTGGTTTAAGCTAACGCACCAATATCAAGAATTTGCAATCAGCTAACCTAGCAGTGGAGATGACAGGATGCAGATAACCTTCCACGGCGGGTATACACGAATGGAGAAAAGGTTTCGGTGGCATTACCAACGGATATACTGTGTAGCTAACTTCAAATTGTGGCTTCTCAGTGAGGTTTTGTGACTGAGTTACAATTAGTGCGTGTTTAGGATTCTTCAGAATCCGATAAACTCACATGTGCTCACCTCACAGACTACATTGTCCACTAAAGACATGCACGGGATGAACTGGTAAAGAAGGTGCAGCAAGCCGTCCACCTGTTTAGTCGCCCTCTATTGAGAGGACTCAAGTGCATTGAGGTCATATTTGTGCCCAGGGCGCCACACCTGGATGGCGTATGCTGGAATGAGAAAAGTTAACACGAACACCATGCTGTTTTTGCCACGGATTCAACTTCTTACTCAGGTTGTTTTTGAAGTGTGGATAGGTGTCCCAGCTATCAGCTATTCGCTGTAAGCTGGAAATAAACTATATCGCCAAGTAATAATCGGAACGCAACCCGAACCTCGCTAGCACTATTGCGTCACCAATATATCCACCGTGGTTGAAATGAACAATGCGTCAACACGGAATATTTATCAGAGTTTTAATGGTAGACAATGTTTCGGTACAACCAGAGCAGTTGGTACAGAGTGATCAATGTTTGGTGAGATATTGTAGCGACCTAATTCGTCCCGTTGTGTTCAGTCGATTGACAGAAAAGCAATGTCGGCAACTTACAGAAAGAATCGTCGGCTTGAGTAGGGTCAGTGCGCTCAGTGCTGTATGGACAGAGATGGTGGTTATGCAAAGCAGCACAACTGCAAGAGCTGAGCCCGTCAGGTATGAGGTCACGTATTTATGAATGAACTTCTATGGACGCAAGTTTGCGACCGTGACGGTGCGTTGTTGGCGGAATGTTTGCTATATAGCTCATGTTTGAACCTTAAGTAATCACATCCATTCTTAAAGCATAATTTTTAGAATGTATTTTTTGCACTACGATATATATGTCCCACAGCAAATTAAGTAAAGTTAATTGTAGGCGCTTATGTCTCCGTTCATTAGGACAGTGGACGTTCGAAGCCAGCTTGCCAGCAAGTCTGATGCTGCTTAGTTGCTTTTATCTGTTTTAGGACTCGCGCATAAACTGCGTTTCAAATCACATTTTAAATGCTCTTTGCAAGCAGTCTCCTTACAAGACGAACATCTTAGTGTTGACACCTCCATCTGGGTCCTGCTACTCAAGTGAAGTTGTGTGTCCAGCCGATTCCCTAGCTGACAAAATTAGCAGTCAGACAACTAACACCGGTTCAGTTTTGCTGTTATTCTTTGCATCGCCTTTCTGTCCTACTTTGACTGTACGCTTGTAATATACTTACAGGTGCAGCAAAGAATCATTTCGTCTGCACTTAGCATCTGGAAGGCTTGAACATCATGATTGGATCTGGTCTTACATTGGCCCAAGAAGCATCCCATAACAGTTCAGCCGGAATTTTCGCAGATATATCGAGACAAGGGGAATTTTGATCATTTGGTTAAGTTGGATTTGCTAACGTCATAGTCACCATGTTCCTGATTATCTTCACTGTTTACGAATTCTGCATCAGAACGCGTCAACTGGCTGGTGTCAATTTCGAATTCTGTGGTGTGATCTCCATCGGTAACAATCCTACTTTTCGTAGTCGTTTTCACTTCGACCAAAGTCAATGGACTTTTCTGTTAACAGCACCATATCTCTAATTTTATCAACATCGATTCTGAGTCCTTTTATTAATTAGCAGAGAATCGACGAAAATGACCGTATGAATAATAGCTATAGTTCCCGTGATTAGAAAAACTGTCTTTAGCGGTACTGATCGATATGTACAAGAGTAGCCCTGTTTTAACCTGGGCGATATGCCAATGTGCAATGCTTGGGCATGTGGTTCATGTACTTCCGCTTTAGTGGAGAACTAAAGCCAGAAGACAAGGTTTGGAAACTTTGGTGTTCAAATGTTATTGTGCCCCACTTGGAATAGTTTATCAAGTGAGTTTCCCGTGTGAAAATAACCACTGTCGTATTCACGTTAAGTTACCTTGCGAGCGTTGTAACAAATGTTGCCTCATTTCCCATGAGCTGATTGTGAGTGGCAGTTTATTCCACAGATAGGTATTTCTGACCAGGGAGAAATTTGAGCTAATGTTTTTCCTAGTATTTGGTTTAACGGGTGTCTAAGCTTTGTTGCGAAGCTCTTGAGTTGAGTTATGTTACAGTTAGAGAGTAGGTTCGTTGGAATAGTTCTTATTTTATCTGCTAAAGCAGCAAAAACTAATGTTTTAATCGTCGCATTTATAGTGGACCATGTTGCAGCCTCTTGCAAGGCGTTCGCAAATTCACCGTCGCGTGCTTATCAATGTGATGTTGTGTAAACGACCTCTGCAGGTGTTCCGTAGCCATGCTGTTGCTTTTTCAAATATTACGTACATTATGTTACATTGCCGGAGGATAGGGTGGGAGAGTAGCTTAAAAAGCTGTCGTCGGGCATGGATGGTGTGGATCTTGTTGGATACATTAAGCACAGTTTGCATAAATGCTGCGTGATTTAAAACGTACACCTAACAGAGACTTCCTGTATGATATTCGCTCTCGTCAAGGTCAGGCGGCTCACTATCTGGATATCATTGCTTCACTGCTTGCGACAAGAAGCCGGCTAAAGTTAGATGAAAGGCGCTGCCGGTGCACTCACGTGATCAACCCAAAGGCAAAACAACCGCTGTCGGTGTGCGAATTACATCAAGGTGACAAGTTTTGCTGCTTTGTAAAAGGAATTGAAACACCACCAGTACAGCAGAATTAGTGAACACGTGCCAGTTGTGATTCTTAATATTCACCTATTTCTGCTGATACGGTGGCCAAAGTCCATACGGTTAAGGGTTCTGTGAACTTTATACACTAAATGACTCAAACAAGAGCCCAGTCATACTTCATCCGGAAAATGGTTAAATACGTAGTCCACTTGGATTGGCCAACTCAGTTCCTCCAATTAGGGATATCTGGCAGGCACTCTAGGAGGATTAGGCATACTTATTCACACGCCAAGTAAGACGACGGCATGCAATAATATAACAAGTTTCAATATCCATCTCTGCGATTGTGAACTATGAACTTGGCTGACTGGACCCGGCGAGGAAAGCAAGTGAGAACACTAAATATACCTAGGGCAAATCTGTTCCAACATGCATTAATTTACAAGCAGAGTTTGTTACTTACTCTTATCATGTATTAAACATCTGTCAGGTTTACAGTCTCTCCTTAATATCACTTAATAGTCTCCTAGCAGCATGCGCCAGCTAGGTAACCACTGAATGATAAAGATGGGACCGATTCGACTGACTGTTATGATATGCAACTGCCACTAGCATCAGTATGTACCAGCTACATAGGAATTTGCTTCCGTCAATTCCTGAACTCGGCCTCATCAGACAATCACTTCATTCGCAGAATGGCACTCCGAGTAGAGAAAATGCAGGTACTGATGTACTGACCAGTCAACATTGTCGCTACTTCTGTTTGCGCTGGTGCATTACTCCGTCATTTAGAACAATGGTATAATACGGTAGAAAAAGACACGGATTGACAGATCTAGTAGGTCGTTTTAGGTTAGAAAAGTATACGCTCAGCGATAGAAAAATTGTCAGTAAACTATTCATTTGTGGGATCATCATAATTTCCACGTTAAGACAAATGTAAATTCCTCTAGCCCAACGTCCTCGGGATTAATGAGCACAGCTTTTGTTCGCGTACTATCAACACCCGATGTCCAGAAGTTATGTCACGTACTGTGATGCAATGCATCGTCGAATCCTTTTTAAAAATACGTAACGCGGGTGCACCAACAACGAAAGTAGGGGAGCATTCCACGGCTGACAAATTTTGAGGTAAAATATGTCCCGCCACATTCCAATCGAGTGTATTTAGCAGCCAGTTTCATTCAGTGATCTCTCAGTTTGTGTCAAGGTTACGTTATAAGAGGTCGCGGCAAATGTGACCATGGTTATCCGAACTCTTATACATCAAATTGAGATCACTCCGTGAAACGCGATAGCTTCCGATGTACACTCCTAATGCTTTTAGTCTTAGTTGGTATGGAGGATGGTTCAAGCCTTTCACCTTTTTGGTTGCCCCTCGTTGTGGGGTCTCCAGTGCAACCAGATTACGTTCAGGCTAGAGTTGTCACGCGGGAATCACGTACTCCACGTAACCGCACATGCGCACTGAGCATTTGAGGGAAGACGGAAGTGTCTAGTCGCCTGAGCGCACTCCGTAAAGGATCAGTAGTTTAGATCGCGATTTTTTACACCTTTGCAGATTGGTCCGAACATCCGTGCTCGTCGCGCTCCTGTGAAGTAATTCCCATGAGGTGGTTGCCTTGCCGTATGTGTTAGGTACCTGCTGGCGTACATGTACAGTTTTGCACTTGCCGGCGTTGAACAGAAGTAGAATTGCCTTCATATATTCCAAAGCATGATCAATGTCTCGTTGCTGCAGATCGTGCTCTTAACTGGTTACCGATCGTCCGCCATACCTTGAGCTCACCGGCAAAAGCAGGAAATTGGACCCGTTAACAGGCGCAAGCTCGTTGCCAAAGACCAAGAATAAGCGTGGCCTAAACACTGACCCCTGTGGAGCACTGCAGTCCACCACAATGTGACCAGACAACGAGCCCCGAACCCGAACTTGAGGCAGCGGCTGAAGAAGTGAATTTCTGATCAACCAAATAACATGGTATCCGATTCCGTAGGTTTGCAGCTTATGGAGAAAGATGCGGTGATCTTAGCGGTTGAAGGCATTCTGATAGCCAGGTATGAATAACCTTGATTCAGGTCTAACTATCCGCTGTTTCGCTACAGCTGCCATACGCAGTCAATATCGAAGTCGATTTATTCGAGTATACGAGGCACGCCCACGGCATGATCAGATTCACAATTAGCAAATATGACAAGGTGAAAAATAGCCGTTTTGAAGGCATATGATCATGGAGCTTGGTGGCAACAAAAGCACGGAACGAGGGCGACCATCGTTCGGTAGGACTAAGGGCAAGCTGGTTTCAACACTTTATGGACAGAAACTGTTGTTGGGTAAAACTTACAAACGGCGATGACGTGGTAACGGAGAAGCATACCAATTGAACAAGAGGAAATAATGTAACGAAAAGGTGTCAAAAGATGAGCAAAAGAATTGAGTAGCAGAGTTAATTGTCAATAGATGAACATGCTAATTGGGAAAGCCAGCGCCGTCTCGATGATCGTGTTGTGCGATATCCGCCGTTAGGTATATACATAAATAGAAATAGTGTATCTGATGTGGTAAAAATTTCTAAAAAGTATTTGACCGACAAAACATTAGCGTAAGAAAGGCAAGAAGTCACGATAAGCGAATTTGAAGATTATTTTGATAGGTACAAAATGGTTTGCTTTCTGATATACTTACATAACCATAGGTTCAGTCGGATTCGCTGAAAGACGCAACAGGGCTGCTTGTAATCTAACGAGCTAGCGTTTTCTAATCACATATAGCTGCACTTCTGCAATTCCCGTGAAAAAGGTATTTTTATCTTGTGCACACCAACGATCAGCAATAAGTAGAGTATTGGTCGGCTAGCTTTATTATCTCGGTGCATACTTCCAGGTTGTCCAAGTGTGGTGGTGGGACACGATGTTGCTCGACCAGCTGTTTCGCTCTGCTTAGCCATGATGCAGCTTCTTTGTAGTTCCCAGCACTTATGTGACACTTGGCAAGATACAAGTGGTTGGCCGCGTAAAAGTCCGGTCGCAGCCGTTCAACTTCGTTGAAATCCTCCATAGCTTCCTCTAGCGTTGCAGTGGGCAATGTGGCGAATAAGCGACTTGCAAACTGTCGTTCAACCCATGTTAAATTGTACACCTGATAGCACCAGCGACCCTTTAAATAACGACAGTGCTCATCCTCCGGATTGTGTTCCAATGCTTTGTCAACGAGCTCCTTGAACTCGTATCCGTAGGAAATACGCTGTTGCATTCCGACAAATTCGGAGGCCAAGCCAACCATCACTGCAAGCCACTTGTACACTTCCGCCATAGACCGTGTTTCGAAAGAATAGTCAGGTTGCTCGTGACACATTTTGGCGAGGACCAAACACTTACGGGCCAAGGCTAGGCCAGTCTCGATAAACTGGCGTCTGTTAGTTCGATCGTAGGCAAGATCGTTCAAGTCGTTTGGAATGAAAGTGCGGGAAGAGACAGAGGTCGAAGAATTTTGAATGTCCAAATCATTTACCGTCACGAATGTGTTTTCTTCACTTTGTGATTCGGCGCAGACTAGATAGATTCCACGGGCGAAACGCCAAAGAAAGTCCGGACTCCGACGATACTGCGAATCCCCGCCAGCTGCAACTTTCAGAGAAGATGGAAGGTGGAGTGCCATAGCAAATCAGCAAGCTGACTAACTCGTCCGCCGAGGTAGCGCAGGTCCCAAACGAGGACGAACACGCTTGGAATCACTAACGCTAACCAAAGAATGAAAGCTGGTTGGTTCTGAGTTCAGCAAATCTCCCGACCCGGCTGAGAGGTAGTTGTCCGGACTGCTATCTCCATTGGCAATTTCGATCGTCCATCGACCGCATCTGTGAAGACTGCATTAGGGCCAACGACCGGCGCAATTCCGCAAATTCTGATCGCAGCGAAAAGAGTTCATCCCTCAATTCACCAGTGCGCGCGCTTTCCGGTGAGCCCGAATATATCCGCATAAGAAGTTGCCACATGGCATGGAAAGCAACACCGACACTGAATCCAATTCCGGCACCCAGAAGAGCGGAAACAATCACTCGTCTGCCTAGACGGCCCCCAGTCCCCAAATTGCCTTCTGACGCAAAGTGCTGGCTTGGCTGCATTTTTCAGTAAAGCCACAAGTGTGCCGCCGCTATTACACTGGTCCATGCACTACTATACACGGCAGAGAACCGTATAGGTTTGTAGTAGGTGACCATTGTTGATGGGAGCCGTGTTGCATGAATGTTTTAAAAACTACGTGTAATGGTGACTAAGCGGGAAAAGGTAAACGATAACGAAGCACTGGATGAACTGCCTGGATATTCTTGGAGCAGATTTACTGTTAGTCCATATTTGGTGAATGTCATCGTCAGCCTTGCGAACAGATTGGGTCAGAGGATTCGGTTACAAAACTGCATGGATTATTTGGAACAACGGAACAATGGGAAAAAACGGTTAAAATAGCCAAAGCTTGACAAGTCCCGTGGGATGGTTTAGGGGAATAACGTTACTTCAACAAAGTTGCGCCAATGTGAAAAACGCGTCTGGGGACTCATCGTATTGTCCAATTTAACACAAAAGACTATCTGCCTATCTCGATTTCGTGCGGGGGGATGTAAGCACAATGTTTGTCTGCGATTTGTCGTCACTCAATGAATGTAATGTAGGTAGTGTAAAGCATTGTCGAGTGGTTTTTAAAATAAAGGGGTAACGTGCTTGCAGAAATGACAAAAGTAGGATGAGCGTTCTACAGTTGACAAACTCAAAGGGGAAAATAATTCCGGGGGAATTCCACCCGACTGTATTAAGTGGCCATTTTCAGCTCATTACCCCACCATGCTGTGTTGCGGCTACGCCTCAGTAGGTGTCGGCAAGCATTACCGGAGTTTTTCAAAACGTGAAACGCCAAGATGTGGTTAACCCCTAGACGATGATACCTTCCGATGTACACCCCAGGGCTCTCAGTCGCCTACGGTATTGCAGGTTGGACAGTCCCTTCGCATTTCTCGTTATCCTTCTCTAGGCGGCCTCCAGTGCAGCCAGGTCGCGTTTTAACCAGGGTTGCCAAACCTGGATCGTCTACTCTACATGGAGCCTCACACACTGAGCATTTGGGGGAAGATGGAGGGCTCGAACCTCCCGAACGCCATCCGTAACAGACCAGCATGTTGATTCGCGGTTTCGGACGCTTCCATGTGCTGCGCTGAACAGCCGAGGTCGTCTTGGATCAACCCTCCCCCCAATTTCTCGCTCTTGTGGGGCGGTTTTCAGAATGTCACCTCTAAGCTTATATACGTAAATGGACTTGTGGCTAACATGCACGCTTTTGCACTTGTCCGTGTTAAACGGAATTAGGTTTGCCTTTGGCCATTCAAAAGCACAGCCTAATTAGCACTGCAGTTTATCTTGATCATGCTGATAACCGATTGCCCGCTATATCAACGTGACAAAACTCTCATTTTAGAAGAGTATAAAGCTCTGAGCGGCCCTAGCAAAACAGCTGAGCTAGCCAAACTATTCTGTACCCGGGGTTCACGTTGCAGCAACAATTTTAATTTTATCACCACGCCTGATGGAACATACTACGACGCACCAGATGATAGCTGCGAAGCTTTCAGTGTTTATTTTGCCGAATCAATGCTCATTGAATCATCAGACACACCAACACTTATCATGCCGCACAACAATGAAGGTCTATGCACAGTGGAATTCACTATAGCGAAAATCACTGGTCAAGTCTCATGCTTATGATCCTCAACGTGCGCAGGTCCTGATGGGATCCCTCTTTGTTTAATAAAAAGCAGTGGTAGTGAGTTCCTTCTGCTTTTGCTCAACATCTTTACCTTCTTTTTTAACGACGACGTATGCCCTACTTAATGGAAAACTTCTGTTGTTTTCCCGCGACATAAAAATGGCGCTGCCCACCAGGTTAACAACTTTCGTCCCATCAATCACACACCAATCGTATTTAAAATAATGGAAAGGATAGTGAAAGATGAACTATTTATATTCTTGAACAACGCTAACCTCATCAGCAATTCACAACACGACTTCATGCAAGGTCGATCCTGCGCAACTTGCCAGACCGACTTTTTAAACCACACAACGGCTGCCATTGACAACGGAAACAGTGTCGTAATCCTGTTCCTGGATATGCAAAAAGCCTTTGATAGAGTGCCTCACAGAAGGTTACTAAACAAACTGAAGGCTATAGGCATAGGAGAACCGATGTTCTCTTGGCTGTCTTCATATATTATTGGTACACGGCAGGTGGTGTGCATAGGCAACCATTTCTCTAAACCGAAAGCAATCATCAGTGGAGTGATTCAAGTGAGTGTTCTTGGTCCACTTCTTTTTCTAATTTATATTAACGATATATTCCAGAGAATAAGAAATGGTGTTACATTTATCTTTGCTGATGACGTTAAAGACGTCCCATTCAGTATGACCTATCTGCCCTTGACTCCTGGTGCCAATTGTGGCAGATGTCATTTGCCGTGGAAAGTGTAATATTTTGTCTTAAAAATGACAAGTACCGACAGACAGTTTATTACTACAAGGCGCATATATCTAGCAATGCAGGACAATTCGCGACTTGGGCCTGCGATATTCAGTCAAATTTAACTTTTCTGAACACTGTGATATTCAAGTTTCGAAAGCCATGAAGACCATCGGTTATATCTGCCATCCTTTTTACCTCAAGGAATCGCGCATATCGCTTTACAAAACACATGTATTGCCGTGTATGGAATGCAGTTCAATCGTACAGTCTAACCTGCGGAAATCTGACCAGCACGCTCTTGAGAGGTTCCAGAGAAGCTTCATGAAAAAGCTATGTGGATATTCCTCAAAGTTGACATGCAGGGAGCGATGTGATAAACTTGGATTTGACCCAGTTTGGCTTCGGATAATGAAGCAGAACCTCTGTTTTCTTTACAGAATCATAAATTGTCTAATCCGCAGTCTCAAAAACGGTGTTTACATATCTTTAAACAGCAGATATCCAATACATAACAAAGAGGTAAAGGTCATGATTCCAAATTTACTACAAGAATCAGCGAACGTTTCCTTCTAACCCAATACTCAAAGATTTGGAACAAACTTCCAAGTGAGATGAGAACACGCTATACACTTTGCAATTTTAAGCTTGCGATTAGTAAGCATTTAACCGTCCAAAAGGTGATAAAGATGTTCGGGACATCACAGTCCCTAGATAACACATTCGAAAACGGTATCCATGGTGCCTGAATAAATTTCCGAAACACACACACACAACATTTCAGGCAACAGCCCCTTCCATTACATTTTTTTCTCGGCCCAAACATCTGTTAAGCGATTGTGAGGAATCCTGCTTCAATGACAGGAAAAATAAGATAACAGAAAGATTCTGGTTAATCTGTGGTACTTAATTTGCAATGACGCCCATGTTTATTTTTGAAAATGTATTAATGAAATGTCATGGAAAGGTTGTACCATTATTTGATCTGTTCCTTTTAGGGAACAGCTTCTCGCATCGTCGAGGAATTTACAATTTAGTTATTTATTTAATGGCATTGGTAACAAGCAGGAACACTGACTCGATGACACTCGCGAGATCGTTACTGAAGAAACAACATAATAGTAGCCCTGAAGCTGACTTCTGTGGAACTTCGCGTGCAAGCAGTTGCATTACCAATGCGCGGTTCCCTCTTCCCTCGCAATACGGTTTCATTAAGTGGTGTAGGTTACGAACGTAAATCTTGTGATGGATAAGCTCTCGTAGTAAGCCCTAAGTTTCATCGGTCTGAGACAAGTTCACAAATGCGGAAATTACGCTCCTCTGTTGACTGTGATACTTTCAACTTTGTTTGTGGCTGCAATATGGTGTAAACCGCACCTATGTTGCTCGTATTTTGCAACGCGTCTGCGAGTGTGCCGTCGAAATTGTGATTTCCACATCTAATGGCACATTAATTGAAGGATATTCGGAGTGGATCATATTCCGAGTCATGCTGTTGCGAAAAGCAGCACCCAGAGAAAGACACGCGAAGTGGTTGCGCGTCAGCTGACTGTCGACTTTTCGGTGTCACATGTGTCAAAAATTTGGTTTTGCCAAACTCACTCATGTACACATTATCACCTAGGGAATAACTGCTTTCCCCAGTTTCTTGCGTAATCATAACTCTTCCCTACGTCCAATCAATAATGGCGTTATCCAAGGGCGTGTACTTGGTTCTTCCATTTTCCTACTCTATACTAACAATATCATGGTGTTCCTAATACATGGCAGGTCATTTTTGTTCGCCGATGACATAAAGATTGTTTATAAATGTCGACGAGACGAACTCCATAGCGCAATCTTGCTCGTTCAAGAAGAACTCGATTCACTTGAGAAATGGTGCGACACATTGATGTTGATTTTCTCAGTTAGTAAATCTTGCATCATGTCACACGGATGTTTGATCCCTGAAGACTCTGTTAAACTTAACAATGAATGTATCTGTGTGAACTTATCCAACTGTGATCTAGTCAAACGATACTGTTCAAACTTTAATTTCTCAGTGGACACTGAGTACCATATAGCACTTGTCAAACGATCTGTGGCTAACATATGCCATTAAAGCCAAACAACCCCTTCCAGAATCGAACTTTGCAAAATACTCACACTTCCTGTCC